GAACAAACAAACAAAGGAACGAACACAAACGGAGCGAACGTACGGGACGTGATCGCGATATTCTTATGAAATCAACAACCAGTTCTGTGAAAGGTAGACTACTTCCGTTTACGGAAGGGTTTCATTTTTCATCTTTTGTAATGTACGTTCAACATTGACGGGTTTGTTTGTAATAAATGTGATAATACCGGGACAATTTTACAAACATTACAATAGATGACCAATTCAACCAGCTTACTTACGAAGGAGTAACCTTTCTGACTGGCTTACGTCGCGCAGCTCCTCCTCGGCTCGCGTAGGCGCTTCGTGTTGTTTTCTCCCGCTGCACGACCACGATCTCCCTTACAGAGGAGGCCGGAACAAAAACCTGTGTTCAATTGTGACCCCTAGTGAGGCCAGTTACTGGCATGAAGCAGAGTTGACCTTATAATTACCGGTCTAGACTTGCATGATCTAAGACTAGCTGCAGCCTTAATACCGAAGTTCCCGAGCTAACTAACATCACTCTCAAAAAACTTCTCACTGACTTTTGTGACAAGGGTGTGTACAAAGAAGAGTATGAGATACTAGACCTTTCAATAGTTCACACCAACCCGTAAAGACCCGATTGTGAACGGCAGCACCCAGAATAAAATTGAAATTGTACAATATAATATTGTGGTGGTTCATCTTATAATTCAGTCTTGAGAATGTACCAGAAAGCATCTACAGTAAGACCTTCAAAAATCTTTTATTTTCTAGGGGGAGGCCCCCCAAACCCTTCGTGCCATTTCGTCCGCGCGAATTTTTCAGGGCAATCTCTATTGGGCTAAGGGCCATCTGTAAATTAGCTTAGATGGCCCACAGGGCCATCTCCCAAAATCCTTAATGTCATGCACTGTGATTTATTTATTTTGTATCTTTTTTTAAATAACCATTGTTCCTCCTGGTCTCTTGCGCCCCCCCTGTCATGCCTCTGCACCCCCCACTTTGGGAACCACTGTGTTAGACCCTCCTGAAAAACACAGTAATGAAAGCAACGTACATAGAGGCAACATGCATATCATCTATGTCAATCAGTATATATACTGCACGAACACACGTTCTTAGCACAAATGCAAAACAAGCACAAACTGTAAAAGTACATGAAATGCACTCACATTATTACACTCGTATGCACACCTACTTCTCTTCACACACTTACAGGAGTTCTAAATCCTTTCCATATAAGGATTATTAATTTAAATAAAATGTGTAGGTTATTGAGTGAGATGTATTTTAAATTGGTTATGAATTACAATAATTAAAAGAAGAAAATTAACTTTGTTTGCTGAAATGAAACCGTTTAAGGTTCTGCCTCAGCTTCATACTCACAGTCGCTGCAGTCCAGGCTGGGCTTGGAGCTCATCTTGATTTTCTGCTCCAGGTTCTTGCAGATGAAGTGAGTCAGATCCCCCTCCTGGTGGACCGTCCCCTCTAGCTCCAGAGCCGAGGAGATGGTGGCTCGTCGGCCCTCTGACTGGCCCCCTCTGCCCCCTCCTCGGGCCCCCAAACCACCTGAGGAGAAAACGCAAACAACGGATGGATAAAATTGTAAAAAAGTTCCAGAAATGACTGATTTCCAAATGTTTATGTTCATTTACATACACTAAAGGGATGAGCCACACTGCAACACACACAACATCAAATCTACCTCCACACGATTGGCTGATTTCATCCAGGCTCTTGCTGTCCTGCATCCCCCGGACGTTGCGTACCCAGACCTGAGCCATGACGTGGGGGGGGCAGGGGAGTTCGTCTGAGGGAAGAAGAGGAGGCGGGGTGGAGGAAGAGGACGAGGTGCTGGGACCAGGGGCGGAGGAGGAGTAGTGTCGTGAAGACTGAAAAGCAGGAGAGGAAGTAAAGAGGAACGGTTACATTTCTGCTTATTCAATGATGCTGACAGATCATTAGGAAACCAGCTTTAAAGCTTCACATCTCTTCTCTATGATCAAAAGTTTATTGTCTCATCCTCAAGCATTAGAATTATGATCCACTCTTCTTTAAAGCCAACAGTTCATTCCTAAAGGCTCTAAAGCATTTACTTACATTGACCTTTGTTCAGGAGGAGTTCATTACATCTCATGACCGGTACTATCTCTTCAATCCATCTGCTCCTGCTGGTACATGTAATCTGCTAAAGGACAATATAATCACCTCTACCCTTTTTCTCCCTCCTGCTCGCTGATGAATCCACTTTTTTTCATTCTTCTCATCTTCCTCTTCATCCTGTTTCTCCTTCTCTCCATCTTCCTCCTCGTCTCGGCTGTCGGTGTCCGTCTCCCTCGGCTGTCTGTCCGACTTGGCAGGGCCTTCTCGGGGAGGTAACTCTTTGAAGTGTGCTCGCTGTGCAGGGACCCACAGCAGAGCTGTACCAGGAGGCCCTACAGTGTTAGAGGCCTCATGAATATCTGTGTCTTTGGAGCCAGATTCTGAGTCCTCTGAGTCTCCTGTGCATGTGGCAGCAGGGAGGGAGGCGTCCGGCTCGTCAGAAGAGCGTAACGATAAACTAGATGTTCTACCATTATTCAATGTCTCTGAGTCCAAGCAGCCTTCGCCATCGTAAACTTTGTTCTCCACTTCTACGTGGTTGTCAGTGTCCTCTGATCCCTCTCCAGGACAGGGCACTCTGCTGCCCCCACATTTCACCGAGGTCGGATCATGAGGGCCGTTTTCTGGAGAGATGGGGGCCACATCCCCATTAGCTGTTTCTGGCACGTCTGTGCCAATCACAGGGGAGAGACTCATCCCTCCGCCTGTTGGAGGAGGGATAGAGACTGTTAGACATTATTACATCTATATTGAATCCATTATCCAATTAGGGTGGAGTTACCATACTTCTATGAACCACTGCTTAATAGGGCCGCTGGGTATTATGGTTATAAAGGACCACTGCTTATGTGGTATCTGAGATGTACTACTCGTACTCATTTGTAACCCTTTCTCTGTTACTGGATCAGGGATAGAACAAAGGAAACATTATAGTCTGCTGCAAGAGAAGTTTATTAATACAACTTTTATATTCTTAAAAATGAAGTGTTGAGAAACGGCTGTAACCATAACCTAACAATGCTGCGGTTTATGAATTGGCATGCCTCATTAAGAAAATACATGAAATCAAATTGGTTTTAAGTCGACTTTACTCCATTTTAGAGCAGAGAGAAAATGTGACCCTTGCACAATGTAATTGCTCCTGAATTTCCCCCTGACACCGTTTTAGAAAGCTGAACACGTTTAAGGGTTGGTGTTGAATATTTACTGGACATTGTGGTACGCATTGCTGGGGTGTGGCAGTTGTTTGTATTGTTTATGTTTATTGTTCCATCAGTGTTTATGATGCCCTGTTGGCTAAGTTACATTTAAAAAAGAGATTCTACTTTTATTTAGCTAAAGTAACGGATATATCTGCATAAACCTTATCATTGTGTTCCATTGTATCCTATTAATGTCATTATACACTATTGAACCACAACAGTAGCTGTTGTATGGAGAGGTTTATGGATTACAGTTACTTTTGGTTAGGTCTGAAATTACGTAATATAAGGTTGCTTAGCTTAGCATTAGCTTGGACTCAAACTTACTTGGTGTTTACAGTAGCTTGCATTGCATTTTCAAGCCTTTAGTAAACAACGCCTCTGGAGGTTGAGCAAAGGCAAGTGGGTCAAGACTACAGCGCGAAACAAACAAACAGGAACAAAGAAGAGCAAAAGACATAAAGGGCTGCCTGCCAGCGTTGAGGAAGTTGATGTGCTGCTGTCATTAGCCGCCTAGCACAGCTAACGTTAGCTGTCCAGGCCTTTAAACCACAATGCTTTGACAGCACGTCTTCTATTTTCGCACACTCTTACACGACAACACGAACCTTTTTGTAAACAACGCTACGTATCTATTAATAAGGTCATACAGTAGTTGCAGAGAACATCATTTAATAAAGAAAACACTCACCAGTGTAGTTCCTGTTCCGAAAAATGTAAGCAACAACCGAGTCCGACCAGCAAATCCCTCCCCACGAATCTGAAGGGAACAGTTCCGCCTTGCAAAAATAAAAGCGTTTGATGCAAAAATAATAGCAATCTTCTTGTTTGCATGTTCATTTCTATTGACATAGCAGTATTTAAATCAGAACTACATTTTTCCAGCTTAGGTCTGGTTTGTGCTAAGCAACACTAACTCTCTCTTGCTTTGGCTATGTGAGTTTATCTCTATCCACACCATGAAGGTTCATCCTGCATGAAACTCTGTTCTCCCACAGATGGTGACAAACACCGCTAAAACATCCTTCCAAAGGATACAAGTTGAATTTTGGTTATTTCATATATTAAATGCAAAGTAGCAGTTTCTGCTAATGGTCTGACTCTGACCACTTGGTGAGGGCAGTAAGAAGGAAAACAATTTTTTTTGAAGACACTTATAGGATATATCAAACTTTTTTAATTAATTTGAGTGAAAGCTGTATCTCTTTTTATACCTTTTACATATCCTGTTTTGATTGTGTCTTAATGTAATTTTAAGTTGCTCCAACAGCTACTTTGCAATTAAATATTTGATCCTCTCTTCAAAAAAAGCTGGAGGGCAAAGTGTTGATTGCATGCTGTTTATAGTAACCGTCTTTCAGACAAAGTCTGCTCAATTTGTAAGCTCTAAGAGGGTATGATGACCATTCAAGACTTACATTACAATGACAACATTTCAATGTAAAGAAAAGCTGGGAATTAATAGAATCCCGAATAGAATTAAATATATAAATATAAATTAATAGAGTTAACAACATGATACTTCTTTGAAGATTTTCCCAGAATTTACCATTTTGGAATATGATTGTTATGTATTTAAACATAAAATCACTTTTTGCGAGATTATGCTCAAAGTATGGTCTTACAAATAGTCTTCCTATCAATACCAGTCCTTATTAACGTCAGTTTCCTGTCTACAAAAGACAATCAGGATACATGTGTGTAATTGAATCAGAGGCAACACTGCTGTTCTTCCTATGTCTCATAAACCATTGTTGAATTAAAGAAACGTGCTTGAAATTATTTGAATTGATGGTTAACAGACTGGATGGGGGTTTAAATAATGAGAAGGTCCTGGCTCTGCTTGGCTTTTCCTCCAAACTGGAAGCTGGGCAGCCTCTGTGGTTTTCAAACCTTTAAATTGGACAGAAATGACAAACACTGCTGCTGCAGAGGAGAGAGGATTCAAAAACCACACTGTTACCACATCTAAAGATCTCGTAACATTTCTAATCTAGCCAATCCATGCAGGCCAGCTGCTCCCTCTCTCTGTGGTGATTTGGCTTTTTTTTATCTCATTTGTTCCTTCTGCTTTTGTGCCAGACATCAAAGTGAGAGATATTTACCTAAAGGCAATTAGACCTTTGAAATAAGCCAATGATTTCCAGAGAATAGCACATTTAAAAATCACTCCGACCTTCACCACATTTTAGTGTTCATTGTGATGAGAATACTGGCAGAGGGAAGCTTTTTTAACAATAAAGTAACCGCCACCAGAAAGGCACCATTTAGGAAAATGAGGCATGCAAAGCAAAGTGAAAGCATGTGCCTTCAAACAGATGTGGGGTTTCCATAATGAAATCTGTAGACATGCATGCTGCACTTTATTAACCGAAATAACAGTGAGGGTCCATAAATCATATTCCTATTAATCACAAATATGAATTGCATACCCGCTCAGGACCAGTTCGGAGACATTTTATCGTTCCAGCCACAAAAACGGCTTTCTTGTGTTACTTATCGGCTCACAAAACCAGGAAGTATTCATGTTATATCAGCCAATTAGGTATATATTATTAATAAAAGGCCCCACACTTTTAACATCATTATTTTTGTTTAAATACCTTAGATCAGTTTGATCTAAAGTGGCGTGTATCTGTGGTAAACACATTTAACTTTTAATGGAACACAGGCATGAACATTTTCTTTGTGTAAGCAACAGAAGGTTACCACAGGTATTTCCAAATTCAACACCATCTTCAGTTTTTTTTTTGGGGGGTATTGATGTCTAGTAAGGCTTGTGGTAGGAACAAAAGGTTTAGCTTTGAATTGGAACTTCAAGGACATTTAGAAAGGTTGTTTTTGCTATTGTATAAGAAAATGCAATCATCTAGAATGCTCAACCGGAAGATCCAGTGGTTACAAGTCAGGGGGAAGGACATCATCAAATACAGAAGTCTGAGGAAGTGTGTGCATACTCAGAAACCGTGAAGTCCTTAAAAAACGTTGAGGCATTTGGCGGTAAAATTAAATATCAAGCTTGAGCAGACAGTTTTATCCAGCATGAGAGCATCACTGAAAGGGATACGGTGGTGAAGTGCACGAACCCCATCAAATGAGTCACTTTGTGGCAAACTCCAAAAGCAGCTCTTCCTGACTGATTGTTTCCTACGCCGATTTTATTTGATGCACATTCCAACCATGCTGTATGTTTTTTATTGAATCCTTTGGAGAGAACAGAACATTCCAATAAATATGAATCCATTCTGAGTCACCACTTCAGTACATTACATCAGACTTCATTTAACAGATTTTATACAAAGTGACTTGCAATAAGTGCAATCAACCTTAATGATACAAACTCAGCAAGAAACAGCTAGTAACCTGAACGCTCATTTACTTCAAATAAGCCAAATAATTGTACAGTAAGTGCTGGTGCATTACTTTAAATGAGCTGAACCTTTTTGGTAATAATGTGAGGAGAAGATGGAGATACGCTTTTGGAGGTTGGAGAAGGAATATTGGATTTTCAGATTGAAAGAAAGTGCTTTAAGCTGCAAGAAGGAGAGAAAGAGCAGAAAACCGATCAATAGGTGAGAAGGTCATCAGGGTATTTTGATTACTGCAATTTCCTTTCAGCTGCCGGTTGGTTCTGGCAAAAAGAGTCCAAAGAGTGCCTCAAAACCAGTAACAAGCTGTCTTTAGGTCAACTCATTGAGTGCACTGGGACCTGTCTTACCTGCTTTACACCACTGCTGGTTCCCCATGATAACTGAGCTTGTGTCAGGTGTTACAGACATGCTAGCAACTTTTGGAGACTGCGCTATCCAAAGAAGTGCTTTCATCTAAATGCTAACACTGACAATGCAAAAATTATGTTGAGAAGTGACGTTTGCCATCTCAGTTTAGTGTGTTGGCATGCTAATATTGTTGTAGTTTCTGAAACCTGGTTAAAACCATCTGTCACTGACACTGTTATTCACATTGATGGATATAATGTATTCAGAGCGGATCATAAGGGCAGAGCTGGTGATGTTGCAATATACACTGCTGAGAAACTACAGTACTCAGTCCTTCACTAAATTTCAATTCCAAGGCAATTTGAGTTGCTAGCAGTCCAAATAACTATAGCAAATTCTCCTCTCACTGTTATTGGCTGTTATAGGCCTCCATCGGCCATCATGGATGCAACTACTAGCCTTACTGAATTGTTGTCTACGTTTTCTTCTGAAATCATATTTTTGGGTGATTTAAATTGGGACTGGTTGAGTGATAAATCTTCCCAGTTTAAGCAGGTTTGTGATTCTTTGAACTTAACTCAGTTTATTGATAGTCCCACTAGAATAAACCCTGCCAAACCCAATAACGATACCCTTATAGATGTCATTCTAACAAATGCAGCTCATAAGTATGTGTCTGTTGGTGTTTTTCCTAATGATATCAGTGACCATTGCACTATTGCTTGCATTAGGAGCACTAAGTTGCCCAAAGCCAAGGGCCTTATTGTGCTCAGGCGCTGCTTCAAACACTTCTCTGAGCAGGCTTTCCTACACGATCTGGCGGACGTTAAATGGCACTTCATAGGGTTAATTCCATCTGTCGATGTTGCCGGCCAATTTTTTATTGATCACTTTTTATTAGGGCCGGGACTCGATTAAAAAAATTAATCTAATTAATTACAGGCTTTGTAATTAATTAATCGCAATTAATCGCACTTTTAATCACATATCAATATTTGACCTGAGAACAGTGAGAAGCAATTTTTTTCACATGGATTTTAGTATACCATTTAATAATGACTGAATACATAAGCTTAAGCAACAAAACATTGTTNTCAGTAGAATGGGTTACGTGGTGACTTGTATAGGTTGAGGTTGTTCTAGGCTGTTGCTTGGCATGGCGAGAATATTGCTCCAATTTCTCCGGTCCCCGAGATTGGGCTTGAGAGCTTTCGCACCTCTGGCCACTAACGGTCATAATTTATCTGCTTTGTTTCAAGACCCGCATCAGAAAGCTTTTGAATGGTGGTACTTTTCCAGTTGGGCTACCTGCTCTTCACGTAGCTCTGCATGTCGTCGTTTAGGTGCTTTTTTTTCTGGAGATAGGCACTGCTCAATCCACTCCTCCATACTATAGTAAGACCCCCCCCGGAGGTCGAAATTAATCTTAAANCGACAGATGGAATTAACGCTATGAAGTGCCATTTAACCTCCGCCAGATCGTGTAGGAAAGCCTGCTCAGAGAAGTGTTTGAAGCAGCGCCTGAGCACAAATTGTGCTCAGGCGCTGCTTCAAACACTTCTCTGAGCAGGCTTTCCTACACGATCTGGCGGAGGTTAAATGGCACTTCATAGCGTTAATTCCATCTGTCGATGTTGCGGTTCAATTCTTTAATGATCACTTTTTATCGATTATTAATAGACATGCCCCCCTTAGAAAATTCATAGTTAAGAATAGGAACACGCCATGGTTTACTAGAGAACTATCTGATCTCATTCATGATCGAAAAAAGCAATGGTCCTTAGCTAGAAAGTCTAACACTTGTTATGACTGGCTTCTTTTTCGTGTCCTCAAAAATATATGTTCAGCCCTTATTAAAAAAGCTAAAGCTGATTACTATCTGAGCTTAACCACTGATTGTTTTAATGGCCATTCTAAATTCTGGAAAACAATTAAATCACTTCAGAACAAGAAGGTTTCTAGTTTCCCACAAAAACTGGAGGTCAGTGATTCTTTTATTTCAGATTCAGATGGTATGTCTAATGCTTT